GTGAACTGGTCTTTAGGTCTAAAACCCTTTGAAATTATTCTTGGTTGTGAACCTTTGAAACCTCTAGACCTTATTCTCATGCACCCACATGCTTGTGTGTCTATGTCAGTTGAGGTAGTTGTATCACATTTTCTTAGCTTGCATATTGAGATCAATAAACAATTTGAAGCAAGTAAAGCATTATATAAACCTCAAGTTGTTTGGCATAAACAATACTTTGAATTTAATATTGGGGATTATGTTATATTGCAAGCGTGTAATGCTGGTCTTTTTAAAATTTCAAAGCATGTTGGTCAAAATGCCTATGTCAATGACCTTTTATCACATTATGACCACCACCCTATTTTATTTGTTACGGACTTCGATGCTTACAACGGCTATTTTAGCCCTTCTGATGACCCGTTTCTACTCCCACATAAGAATTCCCACACTGACTCTTTTGCCATGTCTGCTTCAATCTCACCTATCACAGCACACAAAAATAAAATTGATGTTATTTTGGATGAACAGCTTGTGTTGACCAATAATAGAGAGATTCAAAACTTTCTTGTTCGTTGGATGGATCGACTTGATTCTGACGGCACATGGATTCCCAAAGAGAGACTTCAGCAGTGTGAGCCAAATTTATTGGAGCTTTATAAGAGTCAGCAAAATTCTCACTCGCCTAAGTTATCTTGGTCAACTCATGTTTTTGCGGGTAATTTGCAATTGGCATCATCACCATTTGTGGAATTTCGATATTTGGTTCGTTAGAGAGATCGTCCCCCATGGCATAACTTGGAGCCTTTAGCATCAGATTCATTGCAACATTTTGATTTATCCACTCGACGGGGTCGAGTTTTTCTCCCACCCCGGGAGAGTTGATGCGGACATCCATTTACTATTTATTTTCTTCCATTTACTATTTATTTTCTTTTTGGACTATTAGTTATATTCTAGTTGGATTATTATTTATATTTCTGTTATTGGGCTTGTTTAGTGGGTTTGGCCCAAGCCCTTCTCTTTAGGGTTTGTGTTCTGCTATTTATTTCTGTTTTGTTTTTCATTTGAGACAGTTGATGATGAATTAGAATTGAAATATTTTTGGTGGCTTGCAGCCGTTTTCTCCCTCCCCTCTCTTCCCCTGGTTTCTTCTCCTCTTCTCCCTTCTCTCTGTTTCTCCTCCCCGTTCCTTCTTCTTTCTTTCTTATTCATCCTACATCAATATGCCCCAATGCATGCTTCATATGAGGCCTTCTTTAAGCATCATGAAGCATATGCTTTGAGTGCCATTGTCCAAACTCAAAACTTTGACCTATCAGGAGCATCGGTTAAGGCATAAGTTCTTGGAGGCTGAAGTGCGTGCTCATTCGTCTTGCTGATTCTGGTCTTTGTATTATTGGCCTTAATGGACTCAAGTTTTTGGATTTATCATCCATAGCCTAGAATATGTTAAGATATTTTGAGGATACTTAAAGCACGATATAACCCTATGACTAAAAAAATGATTTTGAGAAGAGAAAAAAGACTAAAGAGCAAGCGTGCCTCATCCTTCTAAACCGAAATGAAAGAAACCCCTTTCCATGTGAAGTTACAGCGTTTCAGAACACAAAATGCTGGTGCAAAAGACTACCACATGTAATTTTGTGATATTCTCTCTCATATTTTTCTTTTTACTGTGTCTAAGATTTTTATTTTTTATAGGGAAGGAGAAGGGGAAGGGGAAGGGGAAGGGAAGGTGAATACAACGTAACAACAAGGAAAAAGAAGAGAAAGAAACTAAGAGTAACAAGAGGATGATTAAAAAACCAAATGCTTATGATTTTATAGAAGACATATCAAGGTTTTTTTGGTTCTAGTGGTTGATTACAATTTACTATTTGATACTTTATTAATCTATTGCAAGTTAAACTTTTCAATTTGGTATTTCAGTTAAATTGTTTCATTACGAATTTTCAAGAGGATTTATGATTTATGGTTTATTAAGAGGATATTTTAGTCTTTTAAAATTCTGAATTATTTTATTGGTTTGTGCTAAGGCATATGCCTTACCTCAAGCAATTACTCACTATTGTCTAATGATTCTTTTAACAATTTCATGGTTTCACATATTATTGATATATTTCTCTTTCTCGGCTGGTATGATCACAACTATTGAACATTCTTTCAATGATGGATACATTGTAGCACGGAATTTGTTAAACTTTGTTACCAACATGTTTTTCAGCAATCAATTTAACATTAAATGAGTCTTCTGGGAAATAGCCATAATCTCTTAAACTGATATGAAAACTGGAACGGGTTTTGAATAAAACAAAAATCAAATGTCAAAGTAGGGATTGAGAAGAATATCTGGTGAACTGTCTCATAAATGATAGTTCAAACTTAAAACTGAATGTAGCTAATTCAATAAAGAAAGCATTACATTTTAACCCTGATCTAACACTGGAAATGCTAACAATTTACCGAGACAGTTAAGTGTCAGAGTTTGACGGTCAGTGCTCATCAGGATTTTGCTCAATCTCATATCTCAATTTATGAAGAAATATATAGAAAGATGATATATTCATCTAGAACCAAATAAAAGTGGGTTGAGCATTATATACTGAGCCCAAAGTTACGTTGCTTCCTAGAATTTTACATTCAGATGATATACACTAGCCCAGTAACATGAATGCCGGGACTCAAAGGTGTGTGAAGTCAAAAATGATGTTCAAACCATCCCAGTATGGTTTGCTGCACCTATCCACCTAATTCCTGAACGAGTGAAGATCAGCATCTTGTGGGAATCAGAACCTACTTCTATTACTCAACTCTCTTGTTCCTACTGCTTCATGATGAGGGAATCAGACTTAGAAATCTGAAGACTACAGAACAAAGAATCAGAAGTAGCAGTCTTTAGTGTTGCTAGTCAACCAAAATATGACAAAAATATGTTCACATTTTCGAGTGCAAAAGAGTCTACCTTTACCCTTTACTTTCTTTTCATTTTCCATATGCTCATCCACAAGTGTTTCAACATTTTCAAACACATCCGTACTTCAGGATTAAATTAAAAGTTTATAGTTCCAAACTTTTTAATATCCGCAACCTAAAAGATATCAACTTGAGGTCAGTCACACTGGTTGGAATTGAGTTCCGTGTTTTCATAGCTGAGCATGTTAGGCACGGCTTACGAACATACTTATATGCTACCCCCAAATATTAACACCAGAAAACTTTCTTTGGGCTATCAGAATCTGAAGTCTATTATAACATCCAGACCTGTAGATAGTTCAGTAAGTAGAATATATTTTTGACATTTCAATTGCATTTTAGAAAACAGTATTCTATTCCAGAACTCACGAATTGATTTTATTTTTATGGGTTCAAATTTCTAGCCATCACATGTGACCTAGATTCTTTACATAACACTACCATTTCAATCCAGCAACTCCGGTCTAGCAAAAATGTAATTGTTACAAATGGAAAAATAACAAAAAAATCTAGCTTATATAAGAAAAAAAGGAATAAAAGTCATACGCATAGTGAAATAATCAAAGGAAAAGCTTGAGGATCTTACTATCCAGAATGAAGAATAATCCTCAAAATGCCAACAAGAGGCACGGTGACCGCCAAAATCTGGTCTTCCAAATCGACCACGTATCACCATCTCCACTCTTATTCTCACTTTAAAAATCAGAATCTTCCTTCGCCGACTCGCCGTCACCGCGCCGCCATGAAACGAGGGACAGACCACCAGCTTCCTCAACATATACGAAGCAAAAGACAAAGAGTCTTGCCCGCTCCGAACTACACTGCCATTCGAACCCGTCTTGATTGCGCAACAGATGCACAAGCGAGAGCTATTCAACGGAAAAGTGACTGAAGATGGGGTTAAAACCATATTTAAAGATACGGGTTTTCTGTGGAGGGAATGAATATTTGCCATTTAAAAGAATTTCAGTAATTTATCTGATCATTTTCTTTTGATTGATTTGGAATGTGAAGGCAATTGGACAGGAGATGAAGCCATCTTCTTCACTCTAAACTTTAGCAGAGTAGAGCAGAAGTCGGCCACGGCAACGATATTTAGAATTTTAGGTGCCGCTTGTCCAAGTCAGTCAAACTTACGTTTCTTTACACAACGGGAATTTGAAAAATAAAATTTTAGAGTAATCCTATTTAGCCTTCGTCGGGGTGGCCGAAACTTGAATGATACCGTACTTTGGCTCACCCAACACATTCATTCACAGTGACCATCTGGTTCATCGGTACGATCAGAAAGTTTCACGCTTACCTTTTCTCATCGCCTTTTGGGGGAAAGATTGGCAAATGATGGAATTCGGAGTGGTCCTAGATTTTGTATCCCACTTTCGTTATTCTCATACTCTACTTTAAATCTTGTTGCGCGTGTTGTTGTAGTTAGTGAATTTCGAAGTCATTTTCTCATTACTTTGGGTCTCTCATTTTCTCATTTTATTGGAATTTCAAAAAAATGGACTTTTCGGTGCAAGGAGGAGAGATGACATGACATACTACAATCACATACAGAAGTGCTGCCCATCCCGAGGCTTACGTAGTGAAAAAGGGAACTAACTCTTCTCATCAACCGCTTCAATTGGATGTTACAATCGCAGTTTAGATAGCATTAATGTGACATTAAATCATATATGGAATTAAATAAGTTATTTAATTACACAATTCATTCAATATATTATCTAGTGTCACCTAAATTGGGGTTACAACCACAGTAAAGTTGTATAGCATTATTCAAAATTTCAAGTAGACATTTATAATTTACCCAA